GCGAGCTCGCGGCGACCTGCGATTTGGTCGTGGCCGAGCCCGCGGCGAAATTCGCGACGCCGGGCGTCAAGATCGGCCTGTTCTGCCACACGCCGGCCGTCGCGGTCGCGGCCGCGCTCGGCCACCCGCGGCGCGCGGCGGAGCTGCTCTACACGGGCGACCCCATCTCCGCGGCCGACGCGCGGGACCTGGGCCTGGTCCACCGCATCGTCGACGACGCCGACGACGCGGCGGCGGCGCTCGCGGCGAAGATCGCGACCGTCGGCTCCGCGGCGGCCGCGCGCCACGGCAAGCGCGTGCTCGCCCGGGGCGTCGACGTCGAGGCGTCCTACGCGCGCGCGCGCACGGCCATGGTCGACGGCCTCGAGCACGCGGACGCCGTCGAGGGCATCGCCGCGTTCTTCGAGAAGCGGCCGCCGGCGTTTGGCGCGCGGCGCCGCTTTTCCACGGCCGCGCGGGGCCCCGGGCGGCGGCGCCAGTTGTCGACGGGCTTCGAGCACCTGTCCGTCGTCGACGCGGCGGCGCGGCTCGAGGCGGACGCTGCAGCGACGTACCTCGACTGCCGATCCGCGGCGGAAGTCGCGACGGGCGTCGTGGAGGGCTCGGTCAACATCCCCTACCCCCACGACGGCGACGCCGAGCTCATCGAACCCGCAGAGTTCGTCGCGGACGCGGACGCAGAGTTCGCCAGGGACGACACGATCCTCGTGGGCTGCCGTTCGGGCAGCAGGTCGATCCTCGCCGCCGAGATCCTCGTCGACGCGGGCTTCACGAACGTCCTCCACGTCGACGGCGGCATGAAGGCCTGGTTCCAGGCTGGGCTGCCCGTCGCGCCCTTCACGGGCTAGAACACTAAATCAATCTGACTTCAAGGTTTGACGAGCAGCCCGGCTCGAGACCGAAGTCATGATGTGCGACAAGGTAAGGAGGCTCGAGCGGGAGATCAAGGATGTGGTCGGAAAGGGTTGTTTGATTTGCGGAGACGAGAAAAAGGGGCTGCTCTGCGCGTGCAAGACCGTGCGTTACTGTTCTCGAAGCTGCCAGCGAATCGACTGGTCGCAGCGAGGCCACAAGTCCGTGTGCCGGAAGATTCGCGACCGCGAGGCGGCGGCGAAGCTCCAGGCGGTGCGCGACGAGGCGGCGGCGCAGCGCGAGGACGACGCGCCAGAGCAGCTTGTGTTCTACGGCCCGGCGCCGCGGTCGCGCGCGGACGAGGCGCGAGCGCGCATCGCCGCGGAGCACGAGGCCGCGCGGGTGCTGCGGGAGGCTGAGCCGGAGCGGGCGCCGCCGCTGTCGGCGCGCTTCGGATCACGCTGCCCGATCTGCCTCGAGAACTGGGACGTTAACGAGGAGAATGCGTTCGTTGTCTGCTGCTGTCGTCAGATCTGCAAAATCTGTTCGATCAAGCTTGACAGCCCCAAGAATTGCCCCCTCTGTCGAGCGGTGAAGCCCAAGGGACAGGAATGCCTGAACATATTGAACCGCTATGCCGCTGACCGCTTACCCGAAGCCGTTTATGAGGTGGCAAACGCCCACGAATTCGGGCACCTGGGGTTGAGACCGTCGGCGAAGCGAGCCAAAAAGCTGTATGAGGAAGCAGTCGAGCTTGGCAGTGTAGACGCGATGAAATGTCTTGGAGACATCTTTGGTCTGGGAAAGGGTGTAAAAATGAATCGAACGAAGGCAAAGAAATTCTATCGTATGGCTGCTATTCGAGGCCACCCGCAGGCGCAACATAACATCGGTGTTCTATTGACCCATCCTTCTGAGGTCAGCGAAGGCGATTCAGCTGAAGAAGGTCTCCTACACCTAATAAACAGCGCGGCGCAAGGTTACACACCGGCTGAATGCATGCTAGGTCGCTGCTACTGCGTCGGAATTGGCTGTGAAGTGGACTTGCAAAAATCCTATTTCTGGTATTCCCGCGCCGCCGCGAAGGGCGACGAGGAGGCAAAAGCTATCCTCGAGAAGGGCTGGGGTATTAACTCTAGTTAACTAGGATCCTCCTCGCCTTCGAGCGCGCCCGTCATAGCATCCCCGCCTTCCAACCCCCCAATCACGGCCAGGGCCGTCGCGACCTGGGCCTCGCGGTTCACGTGCGTGTGCTCCTGGACGGCGCCCGGCCCCAGGTGCGCCGTGCGGTCGACCAAAACGACGCCCGGCGCGTCCGCGAACGCTTCTCGCAGCGCGTCGGCGACGTCCCGGAGGCGCGCCGACAGCCCCGCCCGCACGTCGACCGGGATCTTGTCGAGGACCGCGGCCCAGTGCGACGACGCGTACAGCGGATCCCAGGCGTCGGGCGTCGTCAGCAGCACGAGCGTCGTCTCGCGCGGCAGCGCCGCCCGGAGCCATCGCGCGTCGGCGACGACGTCCTTCGCCGATAGAAACTCCGCGAGGCCCTCGGCGCGCGCGTCGCGCGGGCACTCGTTGGCCCGGCGCCAGAGCAATGCCCAGTCCTCCGCGAGCCCCGGCGCGCAGGCCGCGTCGCGGTGCGCGAGGTCCAGGGGGAACGCGCGGCGGCCGCTGCCGCGGTAGCGCGCAACGGGCCAGATCGAATCGACCTCGAGGTCCTGGACGACGACGTCGTAGCCGCGCAGGCGCCGGAGCCCGGCCGTGTCGCCGCCGCCGCCGTCGCCGTCGTCGCCGTCGAGGCGCCGCGCGGCGGCCTCCTCGGCGAGCGCCGCGTCGGACAAAGCCGCGACGGCGCCGTCGTCCGTCGCCGCGCGGAGCCAGCGCAGCGACGAGAAGCGCACGGCGGCGTAGGTCTTGGGCTCGCACGCCACCTCGTAGCCGCGGCGCTCGAGCCAGGGCGCGAGCTGGAGCGTCGCGCACCAGCCCCGGAGCAAGGCGCGCTTCGTCTTCGGGACGGGCTCCGGGAGAACGCCGGAACGAGCGCTCAAGTCCACGCAGGACGCGTCGACGGCGCGGATGTCGTCCAAGACGCCGCCGTCGTCCACGGTGCCGAGCGTTTCGAAGAGCCAGCACGCGACGGCGCTCTCGACGCGCATACCCGCGGCGCGGCAGGAGAATGTAAAGTGTGCGAGGCGCCACGCCTTCCCGTCCTTGGGCCGGTCCGCGGCGACGACGCCGACGACCCCGTAGTCACCGAAGGCGTCGTCGCAGGACACCTTCCAGCAGCGCTTCTCCGTGGCGCTGGACTTGTGCGCGTCGTAGGCGCCGACGGCCTCGTCGGCGACGTACCAGTTCGCCGCGACGCGCCGCTTCGTGAAATTGAGGCGGTTCGCGCGCTGGAGTAGCTCCGTGATGCGGTCGCCGTCGACGTCGTCGTGCGCGACGGCGACGACGCGCGCGCGGATACGGCACGACGTCAGGAACGCCGCGTCGTCGTCGCCGCCGCGGTCCCTCCGCGCCTCGGCCTTGCGCTCCAGCACCTTGTACTGCGCGAGGCGCGCCCGCGCCGCGTCGGCCTTGCCCCAGCGCGCCGCCGTCGCCAGGACGGCCTCCGCGGCCGCCGGGCTCAGCGCGCCGATGCCCGGGTTTCTGCGCAGGACGTCCGCGCGGTTCGCGGGGCCGTCGTCGACGAAGAGCGCGTGGCGCGACGACAGGTGCATGGCCTCGAGCGTCGCGCGGACGCGGTCGCCCTTGAGGCCGTCGCCGAAGTCGCAAAAGACGACGAGGTCCCGGAGGCCCAGCGCGTTGAGCCGCGCGTCCGCGGCGCCGCGGTCCGCGCGCGAGCACACCGTCGACACGACGCCGCGGTCGACGAGCGTCGCGATGGCGCGGACCAGCGCGTCGTTCGCCTCGACGGCGCGGCCCCCGCGGCCATCGTCGCCGCCGTCGTCGCCCAGCGTGCCCCGCCACAGCGTGTCGTCGAGGTCCCAGACGACGACCTTCACCGTCGCCGGCGGCGGCGCCGTCGACGGCGGCCGCGGCGCGACGAGCGGCTCACGCGCGGCGGACCCGTCCGTCGACCAGCAGACGAGCGTCCGCCGCTCGCCGCGCGTCACGCGGCGCACGCGGTGGAGCTGGCGCCGCGCGTCGAAGACGCAGAAGGAGCCGCGCGGCGGCCGGTCGGGCACGGACGCGTCGCCGACGTCGAACTCGCCGCCGCCGTAGTCGCGCGGGTCGCTCAGGAAGATGACGAGCGCGTCGGCCTTGTAGAGCTCGTCGCCGACCTCGTCGCGGTGCCACGTGGAGAAATGGTCGTCGGTGCCGTAGACGCAGAGCTGCGCGCGCGTCGTCGTCGGCGTCGTGCCCCTCGCGGCGGCGAAGGCGCCGCGGATGGCGTCGTAGACGCCGTCGGCGTCGTCGCTCGTCTCGTCGAGCAACGCGATGGACGCGCTTCGCATGGGGCCGTCCTCGACGCGGCAGGCGCTGGCGCGCAGGCGCGTTAAGACTGGATCGAGCGCCGCGCTCGCGAAGGCGTCGCTGGCGCCGAAGAAGACGCCGGCGTCGTCGCGCGGCCGCTTCGCGCGGCGCGTGACGACGGCGTCGTCGTCCGCGTCGAGGATCATAGCCTGAGAGCGCTTGCGGCAATTCCACCCTCAAAAGTCGAGTCGAGCTCCAACGTTGGAGAGCTCGGCAACATTTGTGGCTGAGTGGATAAAGCAGATCGGAGTTAATTTTGACCCCTCGAGCTATGGGAGCTATTGGCACTTTTTTTTTGACTTTTTTTTTTCGATGCACCTACGCGCCCCGGCGGACCCCCGGGGCACCAGGGGGTGGGGAAGGGCGCTGCGACGCGGCGGGTTGTCGAGGAACTCGCTTTAGCGCGCGTGCGACGGCCGCGTGTCGCGCCCGCGCGGGACCGCGCGGCGCATTACGACGGTCGGCGCGCGTTCGCCCCCCCCCCCGCGCTCGCGCACGCCCCGGGCGGGTCCCCGGGGACCCCCTGGACCCTCCGCGGCTCGCGGCGCAAAAAAAAAAAAAGTGAAAAAAAAAAGTGACCATAGCTCGGGGGGTCAAAATTAACCCCGGGTTGCTTTACAAAACAGCACCTTTGGTCGTAGTGGACAAAATGGAGTGAAGGTGCGCGCAGCGTGCGCCTGGCTCGGGGCAATCAGGCGCCGCTTGAATTTTCTTCGCGGACCACGATCTCGCTGAGTTATGCGCTGTTAAGTGTGTGTACAGGCGCTTCGGCGACGCCGAAGCGCCTCGCCGGCCGACGCTTCCAGTGCTTCGGCGCGCGACGCGGCCGCCGTGTCGACGCGCGCAGCGCTGTCAACCGCTGGCGCGGCCACGCCCTACCTCTGGGCCCCTCTGGGAGTGATTTCCGCGGCCGCTGCGCGACGGATCTCGTCGGGGAAGACTTGTTCGACGGAGACGCTCTCGCATCGAATCGGCGCGAGTTTCGCTCGACTGTGTGGTGCTGCGACGACGAGCCCGAGACGTTTGGAGAGGCCTACGACCTACTCTCGACCCACGGCCGACGCTACGACACGGTCTACGTCCTGTTTGGACTGCATCTCGTCGCTCCGCAACCGACCGTGCTGGGCCCCGCCCCTGAAATGGGCCCTTTCCGGCATCACTGCGTCGCCGCGCGACGCGCGAAAGGGCGTCCAGCGCGCCCGCGCACCGTCCCCGACCCAGACGCGTCCAGGATGGCCAGGGGACGCCCGGGGGAGGTCCGTAATGACAGCTAGCATGAGCAAAACTTTGGCGTCCATTTGCTCGAAATCGCCCCCGGCTGCTAAGGTGCTGTTTTGTATCCGCTCAGCCACATTTGCCTCAAAAAGCACGTTCACCTAGGTAGCGAGCATATCCCCGTACGAAGCAGCCCCTTTCCGCGTCCATCACCCAAATAGCATGGCGCCCGCTTTGAGCGTGCTCCTGTCGTCCGTCGCCGTGGCGGCGGCGGCCCCGAGCGGGGGCAAGAAGATGGTGACCAAGGCCATGCGCCCGCGGGGCCGGACGCTCAAGGCCGAGGCCATCGGCCGCGTGAAGAAGTTCAACGACCACGCGTCGCGGCTGACGGGCAAGACCTTCTCGTCCGTGGCGTCGACGAAGGCGGCGGAGGCGAGCAGCACGTCGCCGAACCGGGAGATGCAGTCCTACTGGGACTACCCCATGACGCTGGACTACGTCGTCGACATCGCCGTCGCCGCGAACTCGAGCGCGAAATACTCCGAGTACCAGGTCATCGTCGACACGGGCTCGTCGAACCTGGCGATCTCCCTGGAGTCGTGCTCCTGCGGCGAGGGGTCGAGCGATTTGGACGTGTCCATCGACGAGGACGAGTGCATCGAGGTGACCTACGGGTCGGGCGCGTGGTCCGGGTACGAGACGGCGACGCTGTCGGTCGGCTTCGTCGAGGGCGCGGGGCCCGACGGCGTCATCGTCGACGACACGACCATCGCGGGCATCGCGTCCCAGACCGACTTCTTCGAGGGCGGCGGCTACAACGGCATCCTGGGCCTCGGCTACTCGGACCTTTCCGAGCCGTACTCGGCGTCCGAGTGCTCGTCGAGCTCCGGCATGTCAGGCGGCGGCGGCATGGGCGGCGGCGGCATGTCCGGCGGCGGCGGCGGCGGCGACATGGGCGGCGGCGGCCAGATGGGCGGCGGCGGCATGCAGGGCGGCCACAAGAAGTCGACGGGCCGGTCGTCGGGCCGGTCGTCGCAGCAGGGCGGCATGGGCGGCCAGCAGCAGCAGGGCGGCATGGGCGCGCCGGCGCCGGGCCCGGGCCGCAAGCTCGAGGAGACGGCGGCGACGCCCCTGCTCGACGTCTTCTACGAGGACGGCCTGCTCAACGAGAACGTGTTCACGCTCGCGTTCTGCTCGAACACGGCGTCCTTCGCCATCGGCGGCGTCGACGAGTCCGTGCTCGAGTCGAACATCACCTACGTGGACGTCCAGGAGACCTACGGCTACTTCTACGGCTACTACCTCGTCTACCTCGAGGGCGTCGCCGTCGACGGCGTCGACGTCTCCGGCGTGTCCGCGTCGTCGCTCAACGAGCTCGGCGGCGTCCTCGTCGACTCGGGCACGACCCTCGTCTACCTGCCGTCGACGATGACGTCCAAGATCGAGGCCGACGTCCAGTCCGCGGCGGGCTCGTCCGTCGCGAGCAACCGCTTCTTCGAGATGGAGAGCTGCGTGTCCGCGGACGACCTCGACTCCTTCCCGACGATCACGCTCGAGCTCAGCGGCTACGACCTCAAGCTGGAGCCCACGGAGTACACGCTCAAGTACGACGACTGCTACTACTGGGGCATCATGTCGTCGGACGTCGGCATCATCGGCAACATCGCGCTGCAGAACAAGATGATCGTCTTCGACCGCGACAACAACAAGGTCGGCTTCGCGAAGACGGACTGCGGCCCGGGCCAGGCGACGACCAAGTCCTCCTCGACGTCCTCCGCGTCGAAGAAGGCGGAGCGCCAGGCCGCGCGGTCGCCCGCGAACGCGCCCGCGATGCTCAACGCGGTCCGCGGCGTCGAGAAGTCGAACATCTTCACGTCCTTCTCGGCGCTGAGCGGCCTCGTCGTCGTCGCGGCGCTCCTCGCCGTCGTCGCGGCGAAGCGCCAATCGGCCTACGAGCCCATCCCCGTCGAGGAGGAGGTCTAGGCGCCCCCCCGACCCCCCGATCGCCTCGCCCTTTTTGCCCCATGTTCTACGCCTCACCCCGCAAGCAGTAACGACGCGCAGAGCAGCCCGGCGGGGACCGCGCCGCGCCGCGCGCCGTCGAGCGCGGGCGCCGTACCTACGCGCACGTGCCGGGCTCGTTGCTGAAGTAGCCGAAGAGGAGCTTCCGGGATCCCGCGGGAAAGACGCAGCCGAAGGGTGGTGGACAGTCGGCGTCCGACGTGCACGGGCTGACGCCGCACCAGCCCGTGCTGAGGTAGGCGTCGTCGCCGGCGACGAGGTCCGACGGGAGCGAAACATCCGCCGGCTTCGCGCGCTCCGTGAAATTCGCGAGGGCGTCGAGGTAGCGCCTACGACACGACGGTGTCCCGCGCGCGCGCGAAGACGCGGGGGCGGCGACAGGTTGTGGAAGACGTCGTGGCCCATGTCGCGCGCGCCGCCCCGGTCGACCTGTGCCGAATTCAAATATTCAACCCGACTTCAATGTGAGCGTATTTGAATGTTTTGACACAAGCTCTTTGACTGGGCTTCGAGAATTCGACGAGAGCGATCGATCCGTCCAAAAATCAGCCGAAACGACTTCGATTTGACCGAGCTAGAGAATTCTCAAGTTTGGTCAGGACCACCCAAACCAGTGGTTGAATTCGGCACAGCGGTCGACCATGGCGAGCGTCGCGGACCCGCCGGCGACGCAGCCCGTCGCCTCGACCAGGGTCGTGTCGGGCGCGTCCGCCGCGTCCGCGGCGAGCACGTCCTCGGCCTCGTCCTCGTTCTCGCCCTCGTCGTCGTAGTCCGCGTTCTCGGGCACGTGTCGATCCAGTCGCGCTCCGCGCCGCTCCGCGCGTCGACGTAGGCGTCCCAGGCGCCCGCGTCCATGGCGTCGCCGCCGGCCGGCAGCGACGCGTCGTCGCAGTTGTGGTTCGCCCAGGCGCTGAACGTCGCGAGCGCGCCGACCGCGTTCCCCTCGTAGTCGTCCGGCGCGTCGACGCCGCACCAGTCCGTCAGCGACTCGACGAGCGCGGAGACGCTGCCGCCGTCGTAGGGGATCGCCGAGTCGCCGACGGCGTGCTCGTTGACGACGTGGATCGGCGACGACGGGCTGCAGTACGCGTTGTCGGCGAGGTCGGTGTAGTCGCCCGCGCCCGCGACGAGCGCGCCGGCCTGGCTCCAGACGCCCGCGAAGAGGTCCGCGTGGTCGCAGGCGACGCGCTGCGCGAGCACGCCGCCGTTGCTGAAGCCGTAGACGAAGAGCCGCCGCGGGTCGAGCGTGTCGTAGGTCTGGTAGAGGCGGATCGCGAGGAATCGCGCGTAGTCCGAGTCGAGCTGCATGCGGTCGTCGTCCTGGTCGCAGACGCCCGCGTGGAAGCAGGAGCAGCACGTGCTCGTCGCGTACCAGAAGCGCCCCTCGCCGAAGATCCAGCACTCGCTCTCGTGGCCGTTGGCCACGGCGAGCATGACGCCCCTCGCCTCGAGGAGCGCCTCGGCCTCCTCGCGCGCGTAGATGTCCTCGCGCTCGTCGTCGCTAAAGTCCTCCTCGTCGAGCAGGATGCCCGTCATGAGGAGCTGCTCGAGGCCGTCGGCGTCGTCGCCGGAGCCGTGGAAGGCGACGATCAGCGACGTCGGGTTCGACGGGATGATCAAATTCACGTTCGCGACGCAGGAGCCCAGGCTCAGCGTCTCGTAGGTCACGGCGCGCGCCGACGCCGCCAGCAGGACGGCGGCGGCGGCGGCGCGCGTGGCGACGGCGCGCATACTTCCAGCAAGCGGCGTGGGCATTCCAATGCTCCCGCGTGGGCTGCTGAATTATTAAGTCTGCACTGTGTCTGCTCCATGCCCTCAAGCTCAGGAGTTGCCTCGCTTTGCGGGAAGCACGAGGGAAGGACGCTGCGTCACCCGCGTCGTCGCGTCGACGCGATGCTGCTCGCGCGCGCGGCGCGTGCGCGGCTCCCGGCCGCCGCCGCGCTAGCGAGGCGCGCGCCGCCGCAGCGCGTCCTCGCGCGACCACCACTTCTCGCGACGCCGCAGCGCTTCGTCGCCTGCGGCGGCGTCCTCGACGTCGAGCGCCTGCGACGACCGCCGCACGCGACCCACGCCGCGCTCCCGCTCCGGCTGTTCTCGAGCCGCGCGGCCGACGCCTACGCGACGCTGGGCGTCGCCCGGGGCCTCGCGGACAAGGACTACAAGGTCGCCTACCTCAAGCAGGCCAAGGTCTGGCACCCGGACCTGCGGCCCGGCGACCCCGAGGCGACGCGCAAGTTCCAGGAGCTCAGCGCGGCCTACGAGCAGATCAAGGACCAGCGCCTCCGCGCGGCGTACGACGCGCGACAGACCTGGGGCGGCGGCGGCGAGCGGGCGAGCGGCCCCTTCGACGCGAACCGGTCCGCCCAGGAGGCGGCGGCGACCTGGGCCGAGGCCTACGACGACGCCGGCGCGCTCTTCGAGGCGGGCCGCGCCTGGTGGAGCGACGAGTGCGCGGCGCTGGACGACGACGCGCACGACTTCGCCATGGCCGCGTCGGAGCGGCGCCTCGGCGACGCGTGGGTCATCGCCCAGCGGCGCAGCGGCCTCATCGTCGGCGTCGCCGTGCCCCTGGTCATCTTGCTGCGCTGGCCCGGCGCCGCGCTCGCCGTGATCCGCGGCGCGGCGCCGCTCGTGACGGCCGCGCTCGGCGTCGCCGCGCGCCTCTTCGTGCAGAACCCGCGCCTCGTGCCCGTCTTCACGGGGCTCATCCGCCAGTTCGGCGGCCGCTACTGGACCGCGGCCGTCAACCGCGCGCGCGCGAGGCTCCGCGAGCGCGACGCGCGCAAGGGCCGCGACGCCGCGTGGAAGGCGGACCAGGACCGGCGCCGCGACGAGGCCCGGCGGCGCGCCCACGCCCAGGACCAGCACAATAGGCGGCGCGGGCGGTAAATGAGTTTTTTTCTGTCTCCAGGTGCGCTAGAATAGATCTAGTATCGTCCCCGGTCCTTGCCCCATTCAAGGCGTGTAGGAGAGGTCGACGGTGCAGGCTTCGCCGGGATGAGCAAAAATTGCCACCACACAGCCAGCTTGTGGATCTAAGCACCACTCTTGGAGGGCAGCCCGCCGTCGACCATGCCCCAGTGGACGGACGCCGCCGGGAAGCCGAGTCCCTTCCCGACGGAGGCGCCGCCGTCGAGCTCCATCGCCAACTTCCGGAAGAAGGAGGACGCGCTCATCGGCGACCTCTCCGGGTCCATCGACGCGAAGAATGCGGCGGCGACGGAGGCCGTCTACACGACGAAGACGACGAGCGAGCTCTCCATCACGAACCAGATGGAGCTCATGAAGAGCCTCGAGGGCACGGGCCTGTCGAAGAGCATTTTGTCCCACCAGGTCGCCGCGAACACGGTGCACGCGCGCGAGCTCGCGGCGCTGCAGCTCAAGTACAGTACGAAGAACGCGGAGCTCGACGCGGCGCACTCGACGCACGAGGCCTTCGACGCGGCGAACAACATGGCCATCGCCGAGTCTTTGGCAGCCGTCGACGACGCGCGCGACCTCAGTGGCCTCCGCGCGCAGTACAACCTGCTCGTGCAGAAGGTCGTCGCGTCGCGGTCCCTGCACCAGCGCCGCGTCCAGGAGGTGCTCGAGGCCCAGGAGTTCGAGGCGTCCGGCATCCGCCGCGAGCGCGACGCGCTCCTCAAGTCCCTCGACGAGATCGAGGCCACGTACGACGCGTCCGTCCGCACGCTCGAGACGCAGCTTCTACTATTATTGCGCTCCAAGCTCGAGGTCCAGTACAAGGAGCAGCTCGAGTCCATGAAGGCGAAGATCGCGGCGCTGGAGCGCAAGCGCGACGACCAGACCGCGGCCCTCGCGCGGCTCCAGGAGGAGTACGCGGCGCTGCTCCGCCAGCTCGAGGACCAGCAGACGCAGCACGCGGCGCACGTCGCGGCCGCCGCGCGCGAGGCGCTGGCGAAGCAGCGCGCGGAGATGGAGGCCGTCCTCGAGCAGCTGCGGGCGGAGCACGAGGCCGCGAAGCAGGACCTGCTGGACCAGCTCCACGCGCTCCGGCTCCAGCAGGAGGCGGACCAGCGCGCGCACGAGCGGCTCCTCGCGGACTTAAGGGCCCAGCACGAGGCGGAGCTCCAGATGCTCCGCGAGAAGCACGACCACTCCATCGGCATGGAGCGCGAGACGCGCGAGGCGAACGCGTCGAGCGAGCTCGACTCGATGCGGCGGAGCCACGACGACGAGGTCGACCGCGCGCGGCGCGACCTCGAGGCGCTCGAGGAGGCCATGCGCGCGCACCAGCTCGCCATCGACGCGCTGGGCCGCGAGCTCGACGACCTCAACCGCACGGCGCCCGCGAACCGGGGCTCGCTCGAGAACCGCCACGAGCAGGAGATGGCGCAGCTCAAGGCTGAGCGCGAGGCCGCGGATGAGGCGCGCGAGCAGAAGAAGAAGCTCGAGATGGAGGAGGCCGTGAACCGCGCCGCCGAGGAGGCGCGGGAGCGCGCGCGCCGCGAGCTCGAGCTCCAGTTCCCCAAGACCGACGGCGAGCTCGACGCGATGGATCTCGAGCTCGAGCGGCTCCGGAAGCAGATCCTGGCCGCGCGCGCGCGGACGAAGAACGCGAAGCACGAGGAGGAGGACACGATCCGCGCCCTCGGCGAGGCCCACGGCAGCGCCATGGCGGGCATCATGCTCGACGACGAGCCCGACGAGAAGGCGTGCTCCGGCGTCGGCGACGACCTCGACGACGTCCGCCGCATGGTCCGCGAGCGCCGCGAGGAGCTCGTGCGCGCGGACAAGCAGGCGGCGTTGGACGAGCTCAAGGCCGACTGCGCGTCCTACGCGGACGCCTTGGCCGCGCTCCAGCGCGCGCTCGGCGCGGAGCGCAACGCGCACGGCTCCGAGGTCCGCCGCCAGCAGGCGGAGCTCGACGCCAAGGAGAGCGAGCTCGCGCTCCTGCGCGCCGAGGCCGCGTCCTTCGTCGTCGTCAGCAAGGTGACCGCGGCCAACGGGTCGACGACGACGACGACGAAGACGTCGGAGGTCCACGCGTCGCTCGGCGCGTCGCTCCTCACGTCGGCGACCGTCGACGGCGACGACCCCGTCATGGCCGAGTGGCGCAAGCTCGTCCAGACGGAGAAGTCCAAGTTCGGCGCGACGACGGTCCGCGCGGCGCCGTCCGTCGTCGACCTCGACGCGACGAACTCGCGCATCGCGAGCCTCACGGGCGACCTCAGCCTCGTGACGTCGAACCTCGCCAAGGCCAGCGACCCGGCCGAGAAGTCGTCCCTCCAGTCCAAGAAGTTCATCATCGAGGCCGAGATGAAGATGCTCAACTCCATGGCCAAGGTCGGCGCCATGTGACGCGCCGACACAAGGTCCCCCCCTCTTCGCCGCGCGCCCCCCGCACCACGCCCCTGTATCGACGCGCCCCCGCACCCCTAAACTCTCCACCCCTACGTACGGTCCTTCGCTTCTTCACGGCGTCTTCGCGCGCTTCGTCGCTTCACGGCGTCTTCGCGCGCTTCGCCGCGGGCTCCGCGTCGCCGTCGAGCGCGTCGATCGTGGCCCGCGTCTTGTCCGCCTTGGCGCGGAGCTCCGCCTCCGTCTTTCGCAGCTCCGCGACGATCTTGGCCGTCTCGTCGGCGGCGAGCTCCGGGTGCTGCTTCTTGAGCGCCTCGAGGCAGAGGTAGGCCGCGAGGTTGTTCGCGCCCTTCTTGCCGTGCTTGCGCACCGCCGCGTCCGCGAGATCCGCGAGCGCGTAGGAGCTCTTGGACCGGCCCTTGGCGCCCCGATCCGCGAGGTATTTGACGTCGTTGTCCGTGAGCGCGAAGGGCGCCTTCGCCTGCGCCTTGGGCAGCGGGTCCTCGAGGCTCGCCGCGCCGTCCGGCGCGCGCCCGCCGCAGCGCTCCGCGACGTCGAGGAGCGCCTCGCGCAGCATCCCGCGATTGGCATTCTCGGCCATGGCGCGGTGCTTCTCCTTGAGCTCCGCCTCGCGCGCCGCGGCGGCCTTGGCGAGCTCCGCCTCGCGCGCCGCGGCCTCCTCGGCGCGGATGCGCTTCAGGCCCTCGACGCCGTGCTCGTCGATGAGCGCCTGCTCCTTGGCCTGCTCCTTGGCCTGCGCCTCCGCTTGGACGCGCGCGCGCTTCTCCGTCCGCGCCTTGGTCAACTCGCCGTTGTTCCAGACCGCGTACGAGTTGCCATGGCAGCTGCGGTACGTGCACGGCACCCGTACGAGCTCCTCATACGTGAGGCCGTAGGTCGCCATGGCGCGGTCCTTCGCCATGACCTGCTTCTCGAAGGACGTCGTCACCGCTGGCCGGCTCTTGCCGAAGCCGCGGCGATACATGGTCGCGTAGATGGGTGCGCGCGAGAAGGTTGCGTAGATGGGTGCGTGCGAGAGGCCAACGACGAGAAGGTTCGCGCCGCTTCGAAATTCCAACTGAGGCTGCAGCTGTAAGAAAAGATCCTCGAGGAGTGCTCCATGAACCTCACGGATCCTCGAGGCCGGCGCTGACTTGGGAGAACGTAGCGCAACATGGCGGCGCCCGGGCGCCCGCGCCTGCACCGCGAGCACAGCGGCATGCTGCCGCACCACCAGTTCAAGGCGGCCCTGGCCGAGTCGGCGTCGGCGTCGCCGCGGCGGAAGAAGCCGGCGAAGAAGCAGCACCCGCCCATGCTCGGGCAGCTCAAGCGGCAGCCGAGCCTCTTCAGCAGCTCGTCGCAGCTCCTCGCGTCGGCGGTCCACGAGGTCCAGCCCCTGACGTCCATCAAGAACCAGCTCGCCGACGAGCGCGCGCGGCGGCGGCGCCACTTCGCCGCGAGCCAGCAGCCCGTCATCTTCGACCGCTTCGCCGCCCGGGCCGGGTCGCCCGGCAAGGAGTCCATGGCGAGCGAGCAGATCCCCGGCGTCTCCGCGTCGCGGGCCTGGCTCGAGGACGACGCCGGCTCCGCCGGGTCCGGGGACCCCGAGGCCGCCGAGGCCGCGGCCGTGGCGAAGATCAAGAAGGCGGCGATCTTCTTCGACCGGTCGTACGCTTCCTCGCGCGAGTCCTTCCGCGCGTTCGAGGCGCCGAACCTGGACAGCGCCCAGCTCGCGGAGATGGTGCGCCACGCGTCGAACGTGCGGCTCACGCGCGCGGAGACGGCCGCGCTCGCCGCGCGCTACCCCGGCGAGGGCGCCGGCGAGATCGACGGCCCCGCGTTCGTGCGCTTCTTCTTCCGCTGCGGCTTCGAGGCGCGCACGGAGGAGCGCACGCGGCGCTGGGAGGCCGCGGCGGAGAACGACCGGGAGCGGGAGCGGAGCCACCAGCGCGTGCTCGACCGCGACGAGGCGGAGCGGCGGCGGACCGTGACCGCGCCGTACACCGCGCGCGACGAGGAGAACGCGTGGACGAAGCTCGCCAAGGTCGCGAAGAACAAGGGGCTCCAGGGCGACCTCGTGTCGCGCGCCGCCTTTGAAAGTTTGATGACGCCCGCGGAGATCAAGCTGCAACTCAAAAAATCGTACAACATCGACATGACGCACGCGGAGATGGGCGCGATCTGCGGCCGCTTCGACAAGAACGCGTCGGGCCAGATCAACGGCGCCGAGTTCCAGTACGAGTGGTCCCACGTCCTGGACGGCAACCGGTCCAAGAACTTCTTCGGCCAGCTCAAGGAGGGCGAGCGGCGGTCGAGCCTTTTGGCGCCGCCGAAGCTCGACGCGCTCGAGGCGGAGGCCGGCCCCGAGGAGGGCGGCGGCTTCATCGACGACGGCACGGCGCGCCGCGGCTCCGTGACGCGCCTGTCCTTCGGCATGGCCAAGATCGGCGCGAAGACGTCGGACCCGGGCAAGGTGCTGCGGCGGCGGACGTCCGTGTCGCGCGAGCAGAACGCGCTCCTCCTCGCGCAGCTCCGGGCGCCGCCGGCGACGGCGCCGGCGGCGCCGGCGCCGGAGCGGAAGCGCCACACGAGCCGCCCCGCGACGTCCGACGCCGTGCCCTTCGCGCAGCGGCGGCCGAGCTCCTTGGTGATCCCGACGGCCGTCGCGCCGCGGCCGCTGACGCGCGAGCGGTCCTACAGCGGCCGCGCGGCGACCGCGCCCCAGGCCGCCAAGGCGCCCCTCCACAAGTTCGCCGCCAAGCCCGAGCTGCCGGGCCAGATCGCGCGCGCGGCGCCCAAGCCGCGCGCCGCGCCGCTCGACGTCGTCCGCTTCGCGCCCGAGCCGGAGCCGCGGCGCGCCGAGGACTACGGCGGCGACTTCCGCGCCATGCTGCTCGACGCCGGCCGGGAAAAGCGCGGGGCCGACGCGCTGGGGGCGCGGCCCGCGACGACGGGGAGTCCGACGAGGCCGGCCACGTCGGGCCGCGCGGACCCCGGGGGCGGCCTCTAACAACTATGGACACATTATTAAGGAGGGGGTCGGCCTACATGAACCGGTTGGCGCACTCGAGGCACAGGACGACGGGCACGAGGCCGAGGGACGCCTTCTTCGCGCCCGCGCCGAGGAGCGTGACCTTCTCGATGGCCTCGTTGGCCTCCTCGAGGCGCTTCTTCCCCTTGGTCACCATGGACGAGCCCGTGTTCGTCGCGCGCACGTACCACGTGTCCCACTTGTCCAGCGCGTTCTTCCCGCCCGCGACCTGGCCCTCGAGCTTCTCGACGAAGAGCCGGCACCGGTGGCAGACCATCGGCGCCGCGACGAGCAGCAGGGCGAAGAAGAGGCGCGCGCCGTCGAAGGTCGACGACGGCGGACCGAGGTTCAGCCGCCGCGCCGCGGCGACGTAGCACGCGACGCCCACGGCGAAGATGGCGAGGGCCTGCTTCCAGAGCGCGAACTTCTCCTTGGCGGTCTCCCAGTGCTCGACCAGCTCGTCCCAGGTCGGCAGCGTCCGCTCGGCCTCGCGCTTCGCCGCCTCCTCCTCCTCCTGCCGCCGCTTCTCCTCGTCCTCCTTCGTCGTCGTGGGAGTCCCGGGCATCTCGCAAGGTAGGGCGTTTTCTTCTAGAGGCTGCCCCTCGTGTGCCCATAGGATCCTATTTGCCCTGCCCTGCCCTGCAAATACGCAAGGAGACCTTTGGCCTAGGATTCCTACAGCTTTATGAACATCTTGAAACTCACGTTTTTAAGGAACTCGCGGGGTGCAGAGGCTGCAGAGCGCGGCGGTGGCGGGGCTGCCTCCGTTCTGATGGCGCGGTCGACGAACTCGATCATCCGCACCATCGCGTGCCGCGTGGACAACCTCCTCGACCCGATCGACGCCTACGAGGACTGCGACCGCCCGGAGCGCATGCGCGACATCCCGCGCGACGCGACGTCGCCGTCGTCGCGCGAGCCGCCCGAGGTCGTCCTCTACAAGGTCGACGAGCGGCACGGGCAGGGCGCGGCGGCGAGCGCGACCTACGAGGACGCCGTCGGCCCGAGCCCCTACCCGGCGTCGCCGCCGACGCGCGACCGGAGGGACGGCGACGAGACCTCGCTCGAGGTCTTCCTGAGGATCCGGAACCTCGAGAGATACGCGCCGGCGCTCTGCCAGATCGGCGCGAAGACCATCTCGGACCTCGCCTTCCTCACGCCCCAGGACCTCGAGACCATCGGCATCCAGCCCGAGGACATCAACAACCTCACGATCAAGTTCGTGCGATGACCGCCGCGCGCCGTCCGCGAAGACGACCGGCGGGCTTCGAGGCCCGCCGAGGACGCGTAAGTCGCCCCCAATGCACGCTGGCGGAAGAGATCCCATGGCTTCGCACCGAGGCGCGGCGGATGGAGGCCAACAGGTACAGCCAATCAGAAGAATTGGCGGACATGGTTGACGTATCAAAGCAGCCCATTTTCGACGAGGTGGTGTGTGTCGTCGCGGGCGGGCAGCCCGCCGCCGCGCCGCCGCGACGAGCATGCCGTCGGCCCGCAACGTCGGCGGCCTCGAGGGCCGCTACGCCCAGTTGGGCAACAACGACTACGAGGAGATGTCCGTGTCGCTGTCCCACGAGTCGCCCTACCGCGACGATCAGGACATCTACTACGAGGAGAGCAAGGAGGCGGGGTCGCTCCTGGGCAAGGGCCCGAGCTTCTACGAGCGGGACGCCGTCTTCGCGGCGCAGCAGCAGCGGAAGCGCCTGTCGCTCGTCATGGTGCTCTGCTTCGCGGTGATCCTGGGCGTCGTCGGCGGCGTCGTCCTGCCCGACGCGGAGCGGAGCGGCTGGTACGAGGGCGGCGGCGACGACGACGGCGCGTCGACGACGACCGTCACGACGGCCGTCGACGGCTGCGGCGCGGAGGACGTCGACGGCTTCGTGACGTGCTCGTACCTCAGCGAGTCGCTCCTCGCCTTTGGCAGCGTGCGGTCCTGGCTGTTCAACGCGACGGGCAACGCGTCGGACAGCGCCACGGACTACCTGCCGCGGCGGTTGGAGGTCAAGTACAACGCGGGCCGCATGGCGCCGGGCTCCGTCGGACCCGCGGCGGCCGGGGGCTACGTCGCGTTCGGCCTCTACCTCCCGAGCTACATGGCCGGCGACGGCGACGTGCCCGTGAACGCGTCGTTCCTCGTCGTGGCGAAGACGAACGGGAGCCTCGTGGCCGTGACGCCGACGTCGGGCCTCGACGGTTTAGGGTCGCCGCGGTCGACGCGCGTCGACGCCGTCAAGGTCTACAGCCCGAGCCACCTGCTCTCCTCGTCCAACCAGTGGGGCAAGGAGGTCGGCTACCCCTACCTCTGGAACTGGCGGCGAAGCGCCTACGACGCGTCGGGCGAGACGCACCTGCGGCGCCTCGACGGCGACGCGCGCTACTCGAGCCTCGACATCCAGTGGGCCGAGGACAACGCGTCGTGGTGGCAGCCCACGGGCGCCGCGGACGAGCCCGGCGCCTTCGCCCAGTTCGACGCGAAGACGGGCGCCATGCTGCGGAGCTACGCCGTGCCCGTCTGCGACGGGCTGAACCACGCGCAGCTCTACGACAACGACACGCGCGCGCTGCTGTCCTGCGGCGGCTCGAACGGCGTCGTCGCCTACGACCTCGCAAACGCGGCCGTGCTCTGGGTCGCCGGCGGCGCCAACGGCACGCTGCCCGTCTACACGCTCGGCGGCGAGCGGCGCGCGCCGGGCGAGGTCGTCTGGGCGGGCCAGTACAACGCGGAGTACTGGGGCGCGGACACGATCACGATGTTCGACAACCGGTGCGACGCCGCGGACGGCTACGCCAACGCCTCGAGCCGCCTGCTGGTGTTGCGGGAGCGCGACGGCGTCGTGACCACGGAGTTCGAGTACGAGTTCCGCTCTGAGTTCCCTTACGGCTACAGCCCCGCGTTCGGCGACGCGGACCTGCTGCCGTCGACGAATTTGGTCGCGTCCTGGTGGCCCAACGTCCTGTCGCCGTCGCGGGACCTCTTATTCGACGCGCAGCTCCTCGAGGTCGACCGGAGCCGGGAGGTGGCCTGGCAGCTCAGCGTCTACGGCGCGGCGTCCGACGCGTGCGCCGTCGACGGCGCCGCCGCGTGCCGCCAGGACATCGACCGGGGCTGGAAGATCTACTCCGTCGAGCGCTTCTACGACGCGCCCCTCGTCTACAACGTCTCCTTCCTCCGCGACCCGGGCGCGTCGAGCGGCATCCTCGCGTTCTTCGCGCACTCGGCGTTCAAGCGCGGCTACAAGACGCACGGCCGCTGGGCGCTGACGGGGCCCCAGGGCGCGGCGCACGGCGACTTCAAGTTCGAGGCCCACTGGCGGGCGACGCACGTCACGGTCAACGTGACGAACGCCACGCGCTTGATCCGCGACACGGCGACGCTCGCCTTCACCGTGCTCGACGAGTACGGCCAGGCGGCGGCCGTCGACGTGCCCTACGCCTAAACTTCCCTGTGTTAGATGAACGTCTTGACGTTGTAGAACGCGACGAGGGCGAAGGCGGCGAAGGCGACGTGGGCCACGAGCAGGACCTGGAAGGGCGTCCGCCACGCGCCGTCGAAGGGCGACACCTCCGCGTGGAGGTTCCGCTCGAGGCTCGCGGCGAGGCCCGTGTGCGCGTGGTTGAGCTTCTCCTCGAAGAGCGCGTCGAACTCGCCCTGGAGCTTCTCGAAGCGGTCCTCGATCTTCTCCTTGAGCCGCTCGTCGACGACCCGCTCGAGCGCCGCGAGGCGATCCGCCTCGTCGGCGACGAGCAAGCCGAACTCGTCGCCGCCGCGGTCCACGGCGTTCGCGAAGGCCGCCGTCGAGTGCTCGAAGACGTGGTTCAGGTGCTCCAGCTTGAAGGTCATCCAGTTGACCATGTCCTCGATCTTCGCCAGCCGCGCGTCGTCGACGGGCGCGGCGTCGCCGCCCGGGAGGAACTTGCGCCAGCCGCTGTTGAGGTGGCGGTCGTGCGCGCGCGAGTCCGCGAAGGTCTCCAAGCTCAGCACGTCGTGGACGTCGGCGGACGCGCCCGTCGCGCCGGAGACGCCGATGCGTAAACTGGAAAGCCACGTCGCGGACTCCGCGACGCGATCCGGCAAATCGACGTCCGCGCAGACGCGCCACCGGTTCCGGTTCCGCTCGTCGATCAACACGCGCACGCGCTTGCTCGTCGCCACGACGCGCGCCCGCGACGCGTTCGCGTGCCCGAAGTCGTCGCGGTTCGCGTCGTAGCGCAGCGACCCCGCCTCGCAGTCCGCGGCGACGAGGTTCGGCTCGCGCCGCGGGTCGTCGCCCGGGAAGCGGTCGCTCGCGACGACGCGCACCTTCCGGAGGCGCGTGTCGAAGAGGATGCCGACGCCGTGGAAGACCTCCGTGCTCCCGAAGCTCGGGCCCCGGGTGAAGCCGTTCGCCGCGAGCCAGAGCGCGACGCCCTCGCCGCGCTGCTCCGCGGGCGCGCGCCCGGAGATCCGAAATTTCAACACCACGGACAGCCGGTCGCTCGCCGCGGCGTCGCCCACGGGGAAGTTGCTCCAGAGCGCGCCGACGGACTTGCCCTTCTCCGGGGTCAGCCGCGCGAAGCTCTGGAGCACCTCCGTGTCGCCGTAGGCCGTCCACTCGTCGGACACCGTGCGCCGCATCGTGTTCGGCGCCATGGCCACGAACGGCGCCACGAAGGAGTGGAACGGCAGCATGCGCGCGTTCGCGTCCTCGTCCTGCGCCACGACGCGGGCGAGCACGACGAGGGCGAGCATGCGCGTCACATTACCCATTTTTATGGGCTGCCCAAGGGGATCTTCAACAGCTTCGTTGACGTCGACGTTGGCGTCGCGATCCGAGCTGGTTGCGCACCACGATCGCAGGCTGGCCTCGACCTCTGCAGCACTGCTACCATGATGCTCCTCCGCCAGACGCGCAGTCTCATGTCGCGCCGGACCTTCGCGTCCGTGCCCGAGACGATGAAGGCGGCCGTCGTGCGCGTCGTCGGCGACGCCGACGCCCTGGAGGTCGGCGACTACCCGACGCCGAGCGTCGGCGAGGGCCAGGTGCTCGTGAAGAACGAGTTCGCGGGCATCAACTTCATCGACACGTACCACCGCAGCGGCCTCTACGCGCGGGACCTGCCCTTCGTCGGGGGCCAGGAGGGCGGCGGCGAGGTCGCGGCGGTCGGCGCGGGCGTGGCCGACGTCGCCGTCGGCGACCGCGTCGCGTACTCCGTCTTCGGGTCCTACGCCGAGTACACGGCCGTGCCCGCGGCCAAGGTGCTGCCCGTGCCCGACGAGGTCAGCATGGACGTCGCCGTGTCCTGCGTCGTCATCAGGGCAGCAAAAGAGAGCGAAATTCCCAACTTCAAAGGCTCATATCTCGGCCGTTTTCCACTCGTTTTGGCTGATTTTTGGACGAGCGATCATCTCTCGGAACGGTCTCGAAGCATGGATGCTTTTTCCGGCACGCGCGCGCGCGGAACACTCACGTTGAAGCGACGTTGAATCACCCTTTTGCTGCCCAGGTCGTCCAGGGCATGACCGCGCACTACCTGACGTCCGACGCGCACGCGCACCTCATCCAGCCGGGGGAGTGGATGCTCGTCCACGGCGTCGGCGGCGGCACGTGCCAGTGGGCGGCCCAGATGGCCAAGATCCAGGGCTACAAGGTCATCGGCACGGCCGCCAAGGGCAAGCGGGCCGTCGCCGAGGCGACGGGCTGCGACGCTTTGATCTTCTACGACGAGGCGCCGGGCACGGCCTACGAGGACTACGAGTCCGTCGACGGGCTGGCCGAGGTCATGAAGATCACGGACGGCGTCGGCTGCAAGGCCGTCATCGACGGCATCGGCAAGGCGACCTTGGACATGTCCATCGGCTCGCTCGCGCAGCGCGGCATCTTCGTGTCCTTCGGGAACGCGTCGGGCGCCGTGCCGGCCTACCCGCCCCTGCGCCACATCGCCAAGTCGTCCTTCATGTGCCGGCCGAAGCTCCTCGACTACACGCGGAACCGGGAGGAGCTCCTCTACCGCTCCAACGAGATCATGGGCTGGCTCAAGTCCGGCCAGCTCAAGGTCACGGTGGACACGGCCTTCCCCCTCGACGACGCCGCCGACGGCCACAAGTACCTCGAGTCCGGCGCGTCCACGGGCAAGGTCCTCTACAAGATCTGAGCGCGCGCGTAGGAAAAAGGCCCGGTCGCGCGTACCGTTAGGGGCGCCCTACGCGAAGCAGTAGTAGCCGACGCCGAGCACGGCGCCGAGGGCCGCGACGACGACGACGGGGCTCGGCCCCGCGGCCTCGGGCGGCGGCGGCGGCGGCAGGTACTCGAGGGACTTGTCGAACGTCTGGCCGTTGCCCGGCACGGTCCACTCGCAGACCTTGGGCACGCTGTACTTGGTCTTCGCTTGCAGCGCGCCGTGGACGTCCTCGGCCCAGTCCGCCATCATCGTCGCCTTGTCCTCCTTCGAGAGCTTGACGTCGATCTCGCGGCGCTGCGCCATGCGCCGCGTGCCGCACTTCTCCAGGAGCATGTCCGTCAGGCGCGGGCAGTTCATGTAGGTGTCGAAGCGCGAGTCGCCGAAGCCGAGCACCGCGGACTGCATGCCCGCGAGCGGCACCTGGCGCACGCCGCTCGGGTCCATGGCGACGCTCCCCTTGTACAGCGCCTCGAGGAAGTCGTCGTAGTTCGCCGGCGCGTCGCCCTGGCGGAAGGACGACGTCGCGACGACGATGGCGTCGTAGGTCGACGCGATGTGCACGAGGCCCAGCGCCGCGGCGTCGTTGCCCTCCATGACGTCGCAGACCTTCCAGTTCACGCCGTCGCGCGCCATCCACTCCTTGGCGATGCGCTCGATGTTCGTCTTCGCCGTGTTCGACTCGCTGCCGTAGACCACGAGCACTTCGTCCATGGGCATCTTTGTCGTCGGCGGCCGCGGCGGCGCACGAGGTGGATGGGCAGCTCGTGGGCTCGGGCTCGATGACGCCGGCACCGCTGGCCGCGGGTCCGGCGCCGGGGTCCGTCGGCGACGTCGTCGCCGCGCCCGTCGACCGCTCACCTTCCAGATGCCCCATTTTATTTGTTGCCGTCCGGTTTGGGCCGGAGCATGGCGGCGCCCTTGGCGCGGAACTCGTCGGCGACGTCCTTGTGGACCCACTCCGTGCAGAGCGTCGCGCCCGAGCCGCCGACGACCTTGACGAGCCCCGTGAGGTCGAGGCCCGGGTCCTCCTTCTTGAGCTCGCCCTTGAGCATCTGGAAGGACGCCTCGGAGAGCGCCTTGCACTCCGGCGCGCCCTTCTCGAGCGCGTCGCGCGTCGCCGGGTCGAGGCCCTTGTTGACCTCCTCGTAGAGCTCGTCGGCGGTCTTGAGGCGCGCGCGGTCGATGGTCATGTCGGGCACGTGGGCGTGGTAGCAGCCCATGGACGCCGCGCCGAGCTGCATGGCCACCCTCAGCACGGTCAGCGACAGGTTCACGGCGACGCCCCACTTCTTGATCCAGTCCTTGGGCAGCACGACGCGGTAGCCACCGCCGTCCTTGCCGCTCTTGGCGACCTGCATGGTCACGGGGCAGACGAACTGGACGCGCACGGGCTTGCCGTACCAGGATGAAGGCGTGAGCCAGCGCGTCACGGCCGCCTCCTTCTCCCTCGCCATCCAGACAAGCTTCGGGCACTCCGTCGCGTCCGAACATAAATCCATGAGCAGCCGCGTCTGGCCCCGCGTCGCGTCGACGACCTTGGCGAGCTCCGCCCGAATCGCCGCGACCTCGGCGGCCGTCTTCGTCGTCGTGTCGTCGATGTGGTGGAGGCCCTCCATGACCGCGGCGGCGTTCGCGGTCTGCGCGTCGTCGATCTTGTGCATGCCCTGCTCCAGCGTGTTCAGCTTCGCCATGAGCGCCGACGCGACGCCGGCGTCGACGGCGGCCGCCGGCGTCGGGTCGCGGACCGCGCGGCACGCGTCGATGAACTTGATCTTGTGCCCGTACTTCATGCCGACCTCCGCGGCCAAACCGTGGAGCTGGGACTCCTCCATGCAGGCCAGCGTGCGCACGTCGTCGACGCCGGCGATGTGGCGCAGGTCGGCCTCGTACTGCTCCAAATCGAGATCGTCGAGCCACTGCGTGAGGCTGCCGAGGTCTGGGTTCGGGTTCGCGCAACCGCCCTGCGTGGGCACGGGCTGCCCCGCGACGACGACGGGCTGCCCCGCCGCGAGCTGCTGGTCCAGCGCCCGCGCCTCGGCGAGCTGGCGGCCCGGGATGCTCTGCTGCTGGAGCGACGCGAGGTACTGCGCGACGGGAGAACCCGGGGGAGCGAGCGCCGCGGCGTTGCCCGGGGCCGCGCGCGTCACCTCCACGAACCAGCGCACGACGTCCAGGTGGCCGCGCTGCACGGCGTGCTCGAGGCCGCGCTTGCCCTCGCCGTCGGGCGTGTCCCGCAGCGCGGCCTTGAGCGCGCCGGTCGGGTCTACGCGCTGGTCGAGCGCGGCCGCGACGGCCTGGAGCGTGCCGAGGCGCCCGAAGGCGCAGATCTTGTGGACGAGCGTGCGCCGGAGCTGCGGGTCCATGTAGCGCGTCACGAGGCCCTCCGGCCCGGCCTCGTTGAGCGCGCCCGCGACCATGTCCGTCGGGTCGCGCGCCTCGACGGCGGCCCAGAGTCCCGCAAGGAAGGACGGCTGCGACGGTCGCGGCGGCGACGCCATCATGGGCGGCGGCGCCTGCTGCATCATCATCGTCGGGGGCGGCCCGTACTGGGGCTGCGCCGGGGGCTGGCCGACCGCCGCGACCTGCATGGACGGCCGCGACGGCGCCGGCGCGCCGGGCGGCACGGCGACGGTGATGACCGCCCCGGGCGCGACGCCCGGCGGGATCTGGACGTTGATCGTCCTCCCGTCGGGGAGCGAGGTCTGGATCGTCGAGCCGGGAGCGGCGTTCGGGGGCACGCGGATCTGGACCTGGTTCCCGGCCTGGTTCGTGCGCCGCACGACGCGCGTGTTCTCGTTGTTGACGTTGACCTGGACGATGCCCGTCTCCGGCGGGCTCGGCATCTTCGCGCTCCGCGCCGCGCTGCCGAAGCGGATCTCGAAGGGCAGGTTCGGCAGGCGCACGACGGCGTTCGGGTTCGCCAGCCTCGACTGCTCCAGCATGGCCGCCGTCCCGGCGTCGTAGGGCGTCCAGCGGCCGTCGGGCCCTAAATGCTCGAAGACCGCGGCCATAATGCTGGGTTGCCCGCCGCGCTAGAGGCTGCCAACGCTGAAACGGTCGGACGTGATCTACAACCTAGAAACGTTGAACTCGCCCGAAAAGCCGAGTTAAAGCCTTACGCCTGGCCGATGGCGACGAGCGCGCGCTGGCGCTCGCGCGGGTCCTGGGCCCAGGGGCAGCGGGGCCGGCCGCCGCCGCCGAGGTCGTCGGCCATCTTGTCGAGCTGGCCGCTCTTCGTGTTGAGGTTCGACGAGTCGAGCGTGTCGTGCTCGATCTTGAACTGCTTCGGCAGCGATATGCGCTCGTCGAGGTCCTCGAAGAGCTCGACGTTGGCCTTGTCGCGGCGCTGGATGCGCCGGTGGCGCCGGTTGTGGTCCTCGAACCACGCGTCGTTCTGGAGCTGGTCCGCGATGATCGAGTTGACCTTCTCCAAATGCAACGCCTTGATGGCCGACGACTTGGACAACACCGAGGACCGCCGCCGGTCCACGACCGTCTCCGCCGTGTTCATCATGGGCGCGCCGTAGGTCTCGTGGGAGAACGTCTCCGCCATCATGTTCTTCATCATCTCCGAGATCTCGTGGTGGATCAGCCCGAACTCGGCCGGGTTCGCCGTGAGCCAGCCGTTGGCGACGCGCACGCAGGTCGGGCAGAACTCCGTGTTGTTGCGGCAGTACTTGCAGCGGCTCAGCGCGACGTTGAGCTCCGCGCGCGCCGCGTCGCGCTCCTCGGCGGTCTGCGCGGCCTCGCGCAATTCGGCGACGGTCTTGTTCTTCAGCAG